TGGTGTTTTTACGGCGGAGACACTCCAGAACCTTTCATGGTAAACTCCTCTGGCCTCGTGGGCGTAGTCCTTCTGAGATCTCCTTGAGTCTCCTCCTATATAAGGACCGCCGAGGACAGTTCGTATGACGCCGACGGGTTCTCAGTCCTCTGGGCGATGGTTCTCCTCTCGGCGTCGACCGTCATTTTGGCTGCTGTGGCCATCGTTTCTAGGTCTCCGCTCGGCTTTGAACTTCTGCAGCCTCCCCTCGCGGATTACTCTCTCGATCTCATCTTTAAGATCGGCGCAATCGTTGGTGTGGTGGCCGAAGTCGCCGTGGAACCTGTAGTATTTTTTCTGGTTCCTTCGGCTGGGGTCTGACTTCATTGGCTATGGGCGGCGCAATAGATTCTCGCGGCCGACCTGATTGAACACTTCCTCGGCTCCTACTGTTAATTCATGGTAGGAATCGTACCTTTGAAATGGTCGAGGCTTACAATTCTCCTCTGGCCTTGGCTTCTTGGCTTCTGGAGTGTTCGACGTCGAAGCGGGCTGCTTGTCCCCGCTTCCTCCACCTCGTCGCTTCTTTCCATCCTACTTTGCTGGTGTCGACCTTTGTTCGGTCCCCTTGTTCTTATTGGACCTGTGCTCAGGGTCGTTTGCATCCGCTTCCTCGGTGTTTATGTAGCCTTGCGCTCGTGCAAGGAATTCCTTATAGCTGGATGGGGGCTTTCGGTTCAGCTTTCTCTTGAAGGGGGTAATTTTCTTCATGTTAGACAATGCCCCCATCAAGGCCTCCCGGTCGGTTATGTCCATCGTGGCGGCGACAGCTTCCCCATATCTTGCAAGTCACTCTCTCAACGACTCGTTTGGCTTCTGGTATATCGTCGTCAGATTCTGTTTTAGGGGGATATATTTTTTAACCCCTATGAACTGGAGGAAAAACGCTTCCTTCAACTCATCCCAGCTTGAGATAGAGTTTGGCTTCAGCGTCTGAAACCATCTTCGGCCAGAGTCTGTTAAATGGTTTCGGAAGGCTCGGCACATAATCTCCTCGGCATACCCATGTAAGAGCATGTGCCCTGCGTACATCTCCAAGTGATCATCGGGATCCCCTCGACCATCATATGGTGGGATCGACAGCGACCTGTATTTATCGGGGAGAGGTGGCGCCATTATTTCTGCGGTAAATGGGTGGTCGTGTGTGCGGCTAGGCGTGATGTCGACGTTTGCCACCTCGGCCACTCGCCCTATGTTCTTTTTTAGGCCGACGACGTCGCCCGTGAGTTTTTGCTCTAGGCTGGCCATACGTTCCATAATGACGCGCGCTTCTTCTGCCGAGATGGCTGAGCCAGCTACTCTCGACGCCTCTGCCCTTTGGACGTTGGGTCCACCCCTTGCCTGCCCGCCTGCCTGTACTGACCTTGAGTCTCCCGGTGGGTTTCCTCCTGGGTTCTGGGGTAGTACCTCGGGGTTCCCCAGGCCTCTCGCTATCCGGTCCTCGGGTGCCCAGGGCCCGACGGCCCTTAGACAGCTGCCGGAGGATTGGGAAAGTCGAGGCCTAGGATGGCCTCTATAATTTTCGCTATCCCTGATTCCTTCTAGGACATGTTGGTGGTCACCGGGGTTGTGGTTTTCAGCCATGGCAGCTCCCAGCGGCCTCGGGGCGTCTTCTAGAGGCGGCATAGAGTTCCTTCCGTCCAAGCACTCGACTACGGCCATTAGCCCACGTACCAGGTCGGTTAGAGTGGTTAGTTGGGCCTGCATCTGTACAAGGTCCGACCGCGGCAAGTTTGGGGGCGGGACTTCATTTTTGACCGGAGGTGGACCTTCCTCCATCCCGTCATTCACTGGATGTGTGGCGGTTTCATCCATTTGGCTGCCTTGGTTGATGGCCTCAATTCTTCTTCTTGCATGCATGCTTGCTGACTATGTTGTTGTTGGAGGTCAAACATATGAACCAGAGATTCTGGGTTCGAGTCCCCAATGGAGTCGCCAATTGTTGACGGTGAAAATTCATCAACAGAAATAGGCCAGGTCACCTCTAGGTATCTCGTTGGATTACTGGCTTGATATTGACTGTATATTTGAAATTATGCTATGAAGTGTTTGTTGTATTTTTAGAATGATGAGCGATATGAGAAAATATGCTTGAAGTAGAAGAACACAAAATTTATAGTGGTTCACTCTGTTAATGAAGAGTTACATCCACTGTAATTTTATATTCCTTTTGAGATTGTTACAATTTACATCAACTGTTGTTCTCTCGTTTTTTTCTCTCTCAGGAAGCGAACCTCTTTCCTGTATGGGGCTTTGCCCCTTTTATAGCTGAGCTTCCTTCATTGGGTGGGTCTCTTTTGTAGGCAGAAGCACTCAAGTGGTCTGCCTTTCTAGGCCCAATCCGTAGCCCACTAATCACTTTGTAAACTGTTCACTCAGCCAATTAGTCTGATATTACGGCTCTATGCGTACCTGTAACTCTTTTATGTCCCCCGTAGGGCGGTTTAAGGGTAATTAATGCCTGCACTGCAGACATCCCCATTTCTGCACGCAACTTGCGATGTCAGGCTTTCCCGGCCCTTTGGGACATTCCTCTCGCCGTCTCTGTTTGCTCAGCCTAGTCTTTCTTGGCAACTGATTTTCTCCCGAAGGATTTTCGTCGTAAGGTCAACGGTACGACCTGTCGTCGTCATGAGGAGTTCACGTCCTAAGTTGGGGTTCCTTTGCAGCAAAAGGAAATGGAGTTCCCAGCGTCGAGGGTTGTTGTCTTTTGATGAAAAGGAATGCTACGTGTCACACTGTTGTTCTTCTACGCGTCATCCACATTTTCCCACACAACAGTTCTGATTTAAGGCTTTAAAAAAACCAAGCATTTTGGCGCAACCATGACTTATTTAACAACAAAGACGTAAAAATAATCAAAGGAGCAATCCAGACGTAGAACTAAAAAAAATCCCCAAAATTAAAAGGCAACAAATTAAAGAGGAGAAAAACGCAAATCTGGAAATCTGAATAGAGGAACAAAGAACCAGCCAGCAAAAAGAGAGGGGAAAATCGAGTATAGAGATCAGAGAGAGAGGGAAGCCGACTTTGAGAGGAAATAAACACACACGAGTCACAAAACAGGAAAAAAAAAAACACAAGAGGACAAAATAGAACAAGGAATATATATTATAGTTAAAAGTGAGCAGTTATTATAAAGATAATTTAAAGAAATAGAGAATGTAATGAATTAATTAAAAAAAAAAAGCTTTTTTTATGGCCCTCTCGATTTTTATGAGAGAAATTTCCGTAATCATAAAAGATTAAGAGATTAACATAACCGGTTAAATAATTAGCGTAATCTTTTTATATTACATCATAATAATTATTATTTTGAGAATTATAAGTTATTTATAAGCATATGGTAAATAAAACACTATCATATATTACTCTAAATAAATGTTCATGCATGACCATATGTGCATATCAAAAAAAGAATATGACATGTAATTTTTCATGATAATATTATTTAAGTTTAAAACGATAGTCGGTTATGATGGAACAGTCATTTATTGATGTGTCTTTTAGTTTTTTTCATATAATTATTCATAACAGATGTACATGACAATTTAAATTTTGTGGAAACCTAGATCCCATTCTTTTCATAGTTTGCATCACAATTTAAATTTTTTACTACAATATTTTCTCTCACAAAAATTCAAATTCAACTTATTTGTTACAATATTTTCTCTCACATAAATTCACTTTTTTAACTCATATTTTCAACTCGAACCTGTGAAAAGAACAGCCCCTAATTTCTTCCATTACTAGAGCTTTAATTACATATATTCATATGTCGTTAAAATGAAGTGCCTCTAATTGAATGGGAATAGAAGTTCTTTATAACTTATAACTACGTGTTAATTAGTTTATATGTATAAGTCTAGGTGGCTAAATTGTTATTGGTGTGCATGGTACTATTTATAGGTTAAATCTGTTTAAGATTATCTGTTATTCATTAATCTTACTGAGAGCAAGAATTAGAGAGAGAATATCTGGGATCTATCTGGGTTTGTAAAGAGGCTTGGTGAGTGCTTGTTTCTTGAGAAAGTGAGAGAGAAACTGAAAGGCATTGCAAGAGAGTTCCTTTAGCTGCCTTGAGAGTTTTGAGGGTGGTGTAATTCAATACTCTCTATAGTGGATTGGACTCGGGGTGGATCCTCCACATTGGAGGTAGGATCTTGCTTGATCCGAATGTGTTCCTTGTTTAATTTATGTTGTTTATTATTTTCTCTGTTTTGCTCATTTTGTTGGCTTTTGGTTTGGGGATTGTTTTGCAGAGTCGAGATAATTCCTCTTAATATGATTCAAAATTCTCTTAAATAAATTAATGTAATATTTTCAGATGTTTTCAGTCTTTCAGAAATCGTCTGCTACAGAATCCTTATATCGCGCTGGCACTAATTGGTAGTCTGGGATACCTGGACACAAACTTATTTGTAGCAGTTTTATATTTGTGTTCTACGTATTTTATGTGCCAATATGAATGTATATTGCATATAGAGTATTTATTTTAAATATTATACAATAATAAGAAAATTAATAAGTGTGATAACGGAAGTATGGAAAAATATTTATCCTAATAGCTAAGATAAATACAAATAAATTTTCAATTCCATTTGATATTAATTATCCAAATGTCGGAGTGTAATTGAAGAAAGTTGCACTAAGGAATCAATAGGTGACATGTAGCACTCTACCTTGCAGACAACTGCGCCGTACAACCAATCCCTACCGCTGATAGAGATTGGGAAATTTTTTTTTTATTTTTTTTTTCCTCTCTTCAAAATCCCAATTAGATAGTCTTTTTTGGCTGTCATCTTGATTCTGGATTTTCTCCGCTCTCATCTTTAGAGGTAAGAAAACTGAAAGCCATAACCAAGACCAAGTGCAAGGAGAATTGAAAATTTTGAAAAAATTCAACCAGCGTCCAACACCAGTTAATTCAAGGATAAGAGAAAAGCGAGAAATATCAGTCGTTTTGAAGACCTAACACTATTTAACAATTTATGATTTGTTGAATAACACCACCTTCGAATATTCAACCATTATTGCGTCAACTCTTGTTGCATACGTTTGCAAAAAATTGTACGTGGTATTACAATAATTTCCTTTGTTTTCTTCCTTTATAGTTATCATTATTACACTATAAATAAATAGACATCCCAACATTTTTATTGAGTTTGGAATGAAGCTTTCTTAGCCATCTTTCTTAGCCATTATCGGAACACCTATTCCTCGATATAATGGAGTAGAAAGAGGGGCAACCTGAGCTTAGTGCTGAGTGGAAGACCATGAATTTGAATCAATCCAGTTAAAAGCGATGGGGCTCAGAAACGCATCAGGGATGCCAAAGGAACTGACCAATGCAAGCGCATGCGGTCGCAATTCACTGCAGAGTTTCGTTACTTCTTTCCTAATCGCAGCAGCATTTTCCATCGATAAGTAGCCATATCGGAGGAATGCAGCCTCTTCTTCCAAGCAGATTAATGCATACATGGACCTCAACTTTCCGAACACATCCTGTAGTAATTAACCAATCACAAAGACTCAACTTTTTAGCATTGTGGCACCGTGAAAAACATCATGTATTTCTGATAATTATAACTTGCAAAAGGTGTTGCTAGTTCTCTATCAACAAGCTGATGTCCTTTAGATTCAATTTTCAAATCTTTCCAGGCTACATCTTCAAGCATGTATAATTGCAGAGACGATGAGAAAAGAATTACCTTCAATGAACCAGCAGGAGTGGGAGACTCGGCCTTCAGACAGGAATGGTAGCCTCGGCATCTAGAAAAGTTTGCAATATTGCGCGATCTGAGAAAGCTCTACCAAGATCTTCTGCGAGCTGATAACTCTGTTTTGAGAAAGGATAAGACAATGTAAGAGGGGGGAGATGGAAAGAGGATAATTTGAATAAATAGACACAAACTCTCACCAGAATGAAAGCGTGCTCTTTGCTTTGGCCGTGTTTTTGATGTTGTGACACTTCCATAGAAAAACGGTTCAGTAGATCCCGTTCTCTTAAGCAGAACGCATCCATCTGATATAAGACAAGTAAGCAGAAACATTCATACCCTCATCCAGAATTAGAGTGTAAATAAAAACGTTATGAAAAGACTAAATTTTACCTGGAATTGGCTACTTCCGAGAGTAGAACTTGTAAGCTGAGATGGAATCACAGGATGGGCCCCGTTCATGTGTTCTAATCCTAATCCTTTAAATGGTTTATTTTTCTTCTGAACTGCAATATATTCTGCAAGCAGTGCCTTGCTGACCTGAGTTACAAATTGAACAACTCCTGTTTTAGATTAAGTTTAGAATAGAAGATATTCATCTACTTAATACTTTTAAAATAAGTGATACAAAAAATTGAAGGCCATGATTACAATGGCCAACCCATATATCATGTCTACCGAAGAATGTCTGTTTGTATTTTTTTTAAATAGAATTTCTGTTTATGTTTTAGTTTAGTTTCCAAAGACTAAATTTCCCTGTCAGACGACTCATATTAGTCTATTCATCTAAGAAAACTTATATAAGTCAACAACTAAGATAATCTGTCCTTAGTTAATAGTTATTTGAAGAGATGACAAAAACTTGATCATACCTGCTGCATGAGAACATTGTTGTCTCCCTCAAAAGTGGACTGCACATCGTATTCAGCTTTCATATGACCTACGCGATTTTCAGTCTTCAGACCTTGCCCTCCACAGGCTTCACGACACTCCTGATCATATATCAAAAAAATTTAAATGAGACTTATCAGAAAAGACATAGAGATTTCGAATTTTAATTACAGTTACTCACCTGAAGAGTCCTCATGTTGTGCCAGGTAAGTGTAGCCTTGAATGCACTCGACACAACATGGATGGTTTTGTTTGACTCGGGCGTTCTCTTCACATAAATCTCTTTCAAGTAATTGGCAGCAAAACTCATAGCGTATCTGAAACACATGAACAAAAGAAATGCAATACTAAATTAAGCTGAAAAAAGGAGAATGGATTAAAGGCTTATTCTTTTTGTTTTATCATCTCTTATATAAGTCATTGAGATGTATCATTTTCCGAATTATGGAATGAGCTAGTGCATTACGAGGTCAGTTTTCTATCGCCATACTTCTATGAAGAAATATTTGCTCCAATGAAAAATCAGTGTTCTTGAACTAATCAACTTGATTCCCACTAAAGAAACTGTTACTGCAGATGATTTCCAATAAAACTTGTATATGAAAATGTCATGACATGATATACTTACGTCTTTGCAAGGAGAGGCAAAAGTCGCCGTTGATGACTGGGATAATCAAGCAAGAGAACTTCAGGGCCATTTGGTGTAAGAGAAAAGGCCCGCCTAGTCAATGCGTACCTTATGGCAATAGCTAAACTAATCTGATAGGTGGAAAAGCGGTATTAAACCATTGGCAAATTCAGAGTGCAAGAATGACACTCAAAAATTTTCATAAAAAAGGAGAAAAAGAAATCATGCCTTGAACTAACCTTTGATGAGTAAATTGCACTGACTGAAATAGTTACACGTCCAGATGTCAAAGGAGCCAAGAATGCTGCAAACCTCTGAAGGCAAGAAACCATTTAAATACTAAACCAAAATGCACCATATTAAAGAGAAATAGAAAGACTAAAATTTCTTTATATCTTTCCTTATGGTCATACTAAGTACCTGATCCGGATCTTTTATTGAACTCAAATACTGGCCGTCTAGAGAAACATCTGCAACTGAATTCAACAAATTTTCTCTGGGGATCCGTACATTGTCAAACCTAAAAAACACAATTCCAATATCCTTCTTATCAAATTTATTTTTTAAAAATTTGCAACACTTTGCTAGTAAATGTACATATATAGATGAGCCAAAATCTGAAGTGTGTCAAAGGAGACATTGCTCATACCAGATTCGACCATTGTCAACACCATTTAAACCAATCTTATGACCACAGTCAGCAATTCTGATGTCGGGACAAACATTGCCATCAGCATCCCTGATCTGGGCTATAAATGCATGGACCCCTTGATTGCTCCCATTTATATTTAGCTGTGAGAAGACTATCGTGTGTGTTGCATGCTAAACATTTAACAGAATTGCCAACATATCATATCAGTAAACGAACATAGCTAAAAAAACAACTTAAGACAACAAAAAATGTGACGAATCAGAAACCCCTTCTCTGGAAATGATACTCACATTAGCCGCCCCTCCAATCCAGTACTTCTGAGCCGATTCACAAGGAGTACTAATCACAAATTCTCCGGTATTCTTATCATAAGTCGTGACTGTTTCGATTCCTCGAACCTGGAACGAAATGAAGGTTTCGAGTAGATTAGAAAAATTAAGAAAATGCCCAAAAACCACTGCACAGTCCTGTTACAGATAAAGCAAACCACGTGACTAACTATTTAAAAAAAATGAAAAAAAAAAAAAGGTAAATGACATACATTACTTCCATGACCCAATTCAGACATTGCAAAGCAACCCTTAATGGCGTAATTCTCAGTGTCCCTCAACCACTTGTCATGATGGCGCTTTGTACCAAAAAACTGGATAGCTCCACCCCTGAATTTCATAAGAGCACACCAATTTAGCATCATATTTACTTTAGTACTTTCCTTCACTGCATTCAATGCATATCTTCTTTTAACAGTACTTTACTTCTTTTTGGAAAAACACTAGAATCTTGCTAAAAGCCTCCAATTTTCATATCAGTTCTCGGCAACCAAACAGAAGAAAACGACAAAACCACTAAATTCGTATTTAAATAAAATTACAATAGAATCTAGAAATCGTCGTCTATATATATACACATACCACAAGAAGAAATGAACGCCGAGCTTGACAGCAAGGGAATGATCGTAAATCCCAATGACCTCGAAAAACGCGAACTTTCTCATCTCTGCCTCGGGCCCTTTCTCCGTGAGCCAACCATGGAAGACGCCTCGGTCCAAAAGATAGGTGATTCGCTTCATCGTCATCTCCCTCTGCTGCTGCATCGACTGGTTGTAGTCCGGCGAGACGAAGACTTTCCCGGCGGCGGTGCGGGGATTGAAGAGAGGGCTCTGGATCAGGAGCCCGAAGAGCCAGTCCCGCTGCTGAAGATTGTGCGCGTCCAACAGCGATCGCATCGCCTTGGGATCGAATTCGGACGGCTCCGACAGCTCCGGCGGAGAGTAATTGAGGCATGGATTGGCGGCGAGAAGCGTCTCCGGCGGAGGTCCGATGAGGTGGTTGGTGAGAACCCGGGTTCGCCGTGAAACGCGGTCCATTTTGTTGTCGTTTTGGGAGAGAGAAGGATCGAAGTTGAGAAGAAGATGATGACACTGACGAAGCCTTAAAGCGTTTCTTTCAAGTCGTCGTTGCAAACCGAGAAAGTTTGAAGCTTACGCGCGAGTAGAAGTTAAAGATTGATGGCATGTTAGTTTCGGTTATTCGAGTTTAGAATTTGAGTTGAGATGTGATTTTATGTGATAATTTTTATTGTAATAAAAAAGTTAAATGTGACTTTTTATAAGATCAAAGGATATTGAGTCTAACTCAACCTAATAAAATCGGCTTGTTAGGAGAGAATTGTCATGACCTTATTAAGTAGATCATGTCAATATCTCTAGACAATGTGAGATTCTAATACGCCCCCTCATGCACAGTGTGGACTATGCTAAACCGCTGCGAATAAGTCGATATTGGATGACCCAACATTGTAAAATTGAGCCTGCTCTGATACCATTTTACAAAAATCAAAGGATATTGGGTCTAACTCAACCTAATAAAACTGGTTTATTAGGGGAGGATTGTCATCACCTTATTAAGTGGATCATGCCAATATCTCCAGTCAATATGAGATTCTAATACTTTTTACTATAATAAAACTTAAATTTTAAACTCGAATCAGCGAAACGAATGAGATCACATTGTGGTGGTGATTAGGACACGGAAACGACGCGCGATGATGATGCAGGTGTGATACCACTCGGCCGTTTATTGGATGAGTTCGCTTTAAGGGAATATTAGCCTACTAAATAATTTGTGCTTTTGAAGGGAAAAAAGCGAGAAAAAAAAAAAGTAGTTAAAAAGTACTTTTAATTTTTTAAAAAATTTTAACAAATATTTTTTAAAAGTATATGAATTTTTTTTTACTCTTAATTCATAATTTTTTTGATTTTTTTGTTAAATAATCACATTAATAAAAGTATATTTATTAAATGTAATGAGTAAAGGTCTAGACTCATATCTTTTTATGAATTAATTTTTTATTTTTTAAAAATTTTTTTTAGTAGACATGATATGATATAATTAATGGAGTCTTAATCAAATATTTTCTCTTTTAAAGAACATATTCTTTATTTATCAGCCGTTAAATTTATATTAAATCTAGTTAAAAATTAACTCAATTAAAAAAAATAATACAAATTTGACGAAAGATAAATGTAGAACACTGATCTTCTTAAAAAATAAGAAACATTAAAAAAATTTCTAAATTAATTAAACATTAAGTAAGAAACTAAAAATTAAATACTAAATCCGGTCTATGACGGTGCGTATAAATTAAAAAATATAGAGAGACGCCGTAAATATTGTGTAAATTACTATTTTTATTAGCAAAATAAGAATCATATATTTTTTTTCTTTTTTGCTGGGAAAATAAGAATCGTATTTTTTTTCTTTTTTGTTGGAAAACAAGAATCGTATTTTTTTTTTTGTTGAGAAAATAAGAATCGTATTTTTTTCTTTTTTGTTAGGAAAATAAGAATCGTATTTTTTTATAGGAAAATAAGAATCGTATCAATTGAGGGTAATAAAGCTTAGAAAAAAAGTAGTAAGAAAGGAGATGGAGAAAAGAAGCCGTTGAAGTTGGAAAATGGCTTTCGAAAAAAATTAATAAATAAAAGAAAAGTTTTTTCTTTTTTTCTGGAAAAGAAATAAATAAAAAGATGCAAAATAGTTGAGCTTCGTCTTCTCGAAAGTTGAGCAATTAATTGCGTCATTGGCAATGAAAGAGAGGATAATGCCTGTTCGTAGTTGGGCATTGACGTTTTCAATGTTAGAGATCAGATAAGAATTTCCCGTACCAGACACAGTCAGAACTGATCGGATAAGCACTGCACGTGTTTAAAGACTCGCCGCTTTCCCGCCGCTTTCCGGATGCATCTTCCAAACAGAAAAGTAAAACATAAATAAAAGTTTTTGGGAATGAGTCTAAGAAAAGAAGAAAGCTTGTTTGGAACACGGGTTCAAATTAGAGAAATTAGGGTCGGTTCTTTTGTTTAAAAAATTTTAAAAAAAATAATTTGAGTTCTAATTTTATTTAAATTTATATTTTTTTAAGTTTTAATTTTATTTAACTTTATTTAATTTTATTTAAGTTATAATTTCAACTCAAATTATAACTTAAATTCAACTAAAAAATTATACTCAAACTACACTCCAAAAGAACAGGCTCAGAACTCCGTTTGTTTTATACATGTAAATTCATAATTTTAATTTTCTTATAATATTTTTTTATAAAAAATTTAAATTTTAAATATTAAAATAAAAAATTATTAATTTAAATACATGAACCAAATATACTTTTAATAGTTTATTTAATTCTTAGGCTTAAAATTAAAGTTTGAATAGAAATTTACATGGGAGAAATATTATAACATAAATGGATCGTAATGTAAATTTATAAAATAAAATTCTTTTTATTTACTTTATTGGTGAAATTTACAAAATAAAATTTTACATATAAAATTAGTATTTAGATATGCAGAAAACAATATATGAATCTGTCTTAATATGTATACATAATATTATTCAATCACGTAAATAGTTTCTATTTTTTATTTTCAATTCTATTTTACTTGATGATTTTTAGAATGTCTCATTTTTTATCCTTAAATATTTGACACGTTAAATAGTTAGCGAATTCTATAAAAATTAAAGATCAAAATTAAAAAAAATGCAAAGATTAAGGACTATTTATGGAAGCTCATTCTTTTAAAATTGTTTTAGTTTTAAACTTTAAATTTTTTCAATAATCCCATAATTTCCACTTAAAAATTTAACAACTAGCTGTTGGAAGGGACTGAAACGGTAAGAAAGTAATATATTAAGAATAAAAAATAAGACATTTTTAAAAGTCAAGACCAAAGACAAAACTCAGCGACTATTTTTTTGGATTTAGAATAAAACGAGTGTGAGATCCGCGCGTTACTGCAGAATGCAGTATAACGCAATGATAGTTATAATGAAAATACATTAATATATATGTATTATACAGTATTGTATTATATGATAAATATAAAATTTACACAAACATATTTATACAGACATATATAGTATTATTATTTATAATATTTATATATATACAGAATGTACAGAATAAAGAACAACGTTGTTGTGGTTCCTGAGCAGTTCATTTTTTTCAGCTGCAAGTATTAAAAAGGGGAAAAGAGTTGTAAATATAAGTGTTAATAGAAATAAAGGCAGTTAAAATATAAAGTATCAAATAAATATTATAAAAATATTTATAATACCTTGTTCTTGGGCGTTTTGTAGATTGTCTTGTTGTTCTTGATTCAGGACTGAAAAAATGGAATAATTTGTAGTTATGTTTTTAAATAAATTGATAATACTTGTTGTGTTGAATGTGGTTTACCTTGTGCCAGGTTTTTTTGGTGTTGGAGTGTGTGGATCAAGTCTGGTCGGTGTTGATAGTTGTGATGATGGTATTGCCTGTAGGCTGAAAGATGAAAACATTTTTAAAATTGTGGTTAATATAATATAAATGTTATTTATGTATAGTCGATAAAAAAATTTTGAAAGCATTATTTACCTTTGTGGTTCTTCTGTTCCTGTAGTTAACTGTTTTGGTGACGATGGTGGAACATTAATGTCTTCAAATATTTTGGAAATTAAAGTACTCATCTGGGTGCCTCGTTGTTGAAAGAAGACTTGGAAGATTTTTTATTGTCCTCGGATCTGATCGATAGCTGGTGGTATTATAAATGGATCGATAAAGCCTTCGTCAATTGTTAGTGCAGAACATGGTTTTTTTATTAATGCCTGAGCGGTTTTGCCAAAAGCGATAACTTCCATGTCTCCAGTATGATCTTCAATTTGGATTGTTAATCTGTACCTGTAATGTACGTATATAAATATATATATATATATTTAATGTTATTTTTTTTGTTAAAGTAAATAAAGATATATAATAAATAAAAATGATATGGTAATAAATTTAATTACCATGGAGATGGTGTTGACTTTATATGGCCATGACTGTCGCACCACCAACCTATTCTTGCCTGTTTTAATTGTCGATAACATCTGGGGCAAGAATTATAGAACCATCCTTGAGATGTTGGAAAGTTTACTATGGTCGCTCTTACAGTGAATTTTCCACCCTGCATAAAATATATAATATTGTGGTTTTAAATTGTTTACTAAATGTAGTAAAAAAATAATAAGAAAATTAATAGTACTAACCAGATTATTTTGTGCATCCAATGTTTTAAGTTCGTTTATTATTCTTCCATTTGCTAATATTTGTTCTTCAATTGTTTGGATGGGCGTTTTTGGTGGTGGTAGGAATTCAATTTGTTGATTTGAAAATACGAATAGGTTAAGGAATATATAAATAAAATGTATGAATATCTAATATGATAAATTTATTATAATATATTTTTTATTATATGTGTTTACCTTGTCTTTAACGTTGTTGTTTCTGGGATGTCTTGATCAATATAAAAGATTGTTGCTGATGTACTCGAAACATATGAGTTACCTTCAAATATAATACAGTAAATAATAAATGTGTGCAATGTTTTTTCATATATGTATATAAAAATGTTATAGTAAAGTAATGGTAAAAATACCTAGATACTGCTTTGTTAACATTGCTGAGAAAACTACCACAACTGGTGCCTTCATTGTTTTAACTACATTTTCATCAAATTGATCCGCTTTATGTCCCCATAGGCTGACCGATAGTTGTTCATTTCTGTAGAAAAAATGTAGTTTATAAAAATGAGTAAGAAAATTGAATGATAAAAGAGAAAAAATATTGTATTCATGTTAAATGGTTGTAATCAATAGTAAATGTGGGGGAAAGAAGTTTAAAATTATTGTACCTGATGTTTTGTATCATTATAGATCGCCGTGTTGTTGGTCTAGTGGTGACATGTGTATGTTCAAGCGCCTGGACACTTGTGACTACTCCAATAACATCTAATATTATATATGAACAGGGAAATTTTGTAAATAAATATTAAAGGAATATTTATAATAATAATAAAATAAGTTAAGTAAAATATATTACCTGTTAATATCTCTGTATTATTTATTCTTTGATATAGCTGGTCGAATTCTATGAAGTAGAATTTGTGAAATGGGATGTGTGGTG